GCATCACATGCTCTCACCAAGTTGCTTCATATCGATCAAGATTGCCGCATTAGCCAGCTTTGTCTCCATTCGCCGGACGCCCAGACGAGACGGCCTCGGCCAGCTCCAGGCTGCCCCATGGGCCGGATTCCTGGCAGAGCACCGAGTCTGAGAGGCCGATTCCTCTCTTCAATTGGTCAATGCGAGCTCACTGCGCTTCTCTCTGACCAATCAGACGGCCCCGGTTGTCCGAAGCCTCGTCCCATTCTTGCCATTCCTCATTCTGTCCCATTTTGCCCGATCTCTGCTCCAACCAGCTTCGCGTTGGGGGACGGAAAGGTCGCAGGCCGTGCCGGCGCCAGGGCGAAACGGGTCAGCGGCACTCCTGCCTCCCTCGACTGGCCTATTTCACTGCCAGTCGCTTCTGCCTCGCGCTGCAAACGAAGCCTGCTTCAGTTTTCCTGCATTCCCTTTGCCCACTACAGCCCGTCTGCCCTCGTTCGGCTCGACTTCAAGCTGGCCAGCTTGTCGGGCGTCTTTATGGCCGGACGACAGGCAAATGGAAACGAGAGGACAGGAAGGAAGAGACGATGCTTGCGCGTATGCAGGCGAGACCAGAAGCAGCCAACCCAAGCGTTTCCTGCCTCCTCCATACCTTGGCAAATTGAGGAGAACCACACGAAGACGACCAACAAACCAAAGGGACATGGACAAATGGGTGGGTGCCTCATTTGAGGGAGGGCTGATGGCGGGAAAAAGAACGGGAGAAAGGAAAAAAGGCTCTGATGAAAACACGACCCGAGGTAGAGAAATGGAAATAAAGAGAGAGAGAGAGAGTACAAGAAAGAAGAGAGAGAGAGAGAGAGAGAGAGATAACGAAAGAGAGAAAGAAGGAAAGATGGGCAAGACAAGTGAGTCGAGTACAATTCCGGCTCCCCTCAGACAGTGCCTACGGAAGTGATAAGTGCACGCTCGTCAGTGTGTTAAAGGAGGCACAGGACTCGCCAAGTCTGTGCACCCAACTTCCTGGAAGGACGAAAAGGAAGACAAGCATCCGTTGTTGCCTCGCCTCACCTCGCCTCGCCTCGCCTCGCCTCACCTCACCTTGCCTCGTCGCGTCGCGTCGCGTCGCTGGGCTTCCGTTCCACATTTCTAGTTATACTATCCTCCTCTTTTTCAGACTTCCCTTCATGAAATCCAAATCACTGAAGTGATTCCTTCCTGTGCTCCTCGCCTCTTCTGATTATGACACTTTCTCCAACTCCCTTATTCACTACGTCGACGAATAAACGCGCCTGCGTATGCTCAAGCATTCATACACACACACACATACCCATACACACAAACACACATACAACCGCACACAAACACACATCCGCAGAGGCAAAAAGTAATCCAGGAAATCACATGTCCACCGGCACACATGCGTATGCAATCAGAAACACTTCAATTCCCTTTAGGCATGATTTCCATAATGTTTGGTCCTGAACTCACTTTCCGCAGAGATGCCAACTAATCTCTCTTGGTGTACCCTTGCTCATGTACATTTCCTGTTGCACTTCTCAAATGAGGCTGGAACACATTTCGGTGTACTCCTGTACTGACCACGTTCCCCATAACTTCCGACTTCCTGTCTGATGGCCAACTAACTCCTTACCTGTTCCCCCCCGATACAATCACCTCAACTTCTACACAACGAGTTGGACTGTGATCCTCTTCATCACCAAATTGCCTCCCGCCTCCCTCGCCTTAAACACACAAACACGCACACACACACACATATATATACACATACACATGCACAAACGCGTTCACATACAGACATTTCTCACGACGCCACTCCCCAAAAGTCAAACGTCATTTCCTGTTGTTGTCTTTATGCCACGACTCTTCGGTTTCCTTCTCCCCAGACCAAGCAGAAGGCTGTGAGAAAAGCGGGAGCCCGAGTGTCGGTTCCGGTTTCCAGGGCAACAGAATCAATTCTGAGTTGTCCAAGTTCCAGGTGAAGATCTTGCTGCCAGGCTAAGGATCCGTCTGTCGCATTTATGACCAGTATTAGGGCCCCCTCCCTTCGTTTCTTCTACCTTACCACACGAGTACTTGGTATTCGATGAGCTCTCATCGATCACGACCATAGTTCTCGACGTCTTTTCATTCACCAAGACTCTTTGATCATCTCCGTGATGCTGATATCATTTAATCCAGACTTTGCTTTTCCACATTCACCGCTGACCGAGCTTGTACAAATGCTTTGCGCACACATGAGCCATAACTAACTCCAACGATGCCCTGTTCCTCTTGTTGCTAGCTGGTCGACTCTTCTCCCATCGGAAGGATTATATGTGCACCTCAGTGATTCTTCCCATTGACATGGCAGAAGTGTCCAACCGACGACTTGACGATCTGTAATTGAAAGTGAGTACCACTGTTAGCCACAATCACCTTATAGACAATTGGTTTCCACACACCAACAAGCGATGAAAGGGTTTGCATTTCAAGACGTGGTAAAGCTGGCGGCATTTAGCTGTCACCTTCCATTCTGAGCATGGCTTCATCTACTCCCTTGTCAATTGAGGTGGAAACGCTCTTTTCTAAGCCTCTCAGATAGTGGGCCAGCAAGTCCGGCCTACCCTGAATCATGTGAAGGTCTTGAGGGCTTATGGGAGGAGAGGGATAATTGAAGCTCCTTTAATAACACGAGGGGAACACCTCAAAATAGCATTGAAATTCACTGTCCCTTACCTACTGATCGTGTAAAATCCTGCTCACTTAGTTACCTCACAGTAACGTCTTGCGAGCCCGATCAGGCCCACATGCTGAATGCAAGAGAAAATGGTTCTAGTGGAAGAGCTGCCCTGTGAGATAGTGATCAACAATTTTTTTTCGCTTTTATAATGAGGTCGTCCAAACTAACAATAGATCATATTTATGATATTTTTAAGGTGATGAATGGATCGGTAGTTGAATTTTTCCACAATCAAATGAGTAGAACTTACGATTTCATTAAATTTCCCATAATCTTGCTTCCAAAAAGGTGTTCTCATCCCGACTAGATTAGATTAAAGTTGCCAATTTGCCTCGTCATCCCATCAGCACCCTCAGAACGACTCGAATCCGGTTTGTACTATGGCACATTAATAGCTAATTCACATTGTCACAGGGACCCTTGAGTCACTGAGCAGATGAGAATTTCAAAAAATGCCATGCTAGCATAATGTATAATCTCTGACAAATTCATCGTGGACAGCTTAACAACTGAGCTTTAAAACACCACGTTCATCATCGCTCTAACGTATTATCTCCTGCTACAAGTTACCAGAAGCGGCAATGACTGCATCTACTTGGTCCCCCACAAAGAGGTAATCTAGTCTTTAAATGTTCAACCAAATCATCGGAGGCCACATATAAATAGCAAAATAAAATGAAAAAAACCTGTCGGATTCAAGTCGACCACTTTTTGATTTCTATATTTGATAAATTTTCAATAGATGATGCTTTCTGGCTATGCGGACGCATGCCACGGCGAGACAAGCGAAAGATCAACATTGGCTCACTGTA